CGGGGGACGGTGGGGCGGGAGCTGAGCAGGGCGACCTCCTTTTCTCTGCTTTCCTCCAGTGCCACTCGGCCTTTTCGCTTGCCTGGAACCAGCTCCTGGTCTAGGTAGGAAACATGAGCGGCAGCAACTTGAATGGGAACGACGAGTTTGATGAACAGTTGCGAATGCAAGAATTGTATGGAGACACCAAGGACGGCGACACCCAGAACGATCCCAGCGGAGAATCCAGTTCTTTAGGGCAGCAACCGGAGGACACCCCCTACGAGTGGGACCTGGACAAGAAGGCTTGGTTCCCCAAGGTAAGAGAGTGGCACCGGCGCCACTGCAGAGCGGGCCGCCTGGCCATCCTCGCGGGACACTCCTTTTAGGTATACTTTGCTGAGGTCTTTGGCAGATAGTGACGCTTCTTTTTGTTGTGTCTGTTGCATGTGAAGGAACTTGGATCTTTAGGATGGTGTCTTAAATGTAATTCTGAAGTCTTTTCTGTGCCTTATTAATTTTGTCCGTGAAGGTCACAGTTGGTTATTACACTGCATTTTATTGTAAAGAAGAAAAACAACAAAGGCAAATTTGGTAGCTGTTCATCTCAGGTAGACAGCCTCACTTATCCAAGGAAATCAGATGTTTAACTTATTCTACTATGTATCTTGATTTTTTTAAAAGGAGCCGTTTATTGTACCTTTACTGATGGAACTTTGTTTGCACCCTGCTACACTTTGCTACTAAATTTTGTCCCTAGGCATAAATGTTTGAGCAATGTAACGGCAAGAATATGACTAGAGATGCACAAAATATGGTGAAAGCGATCTGCGTGTATTTATTCAGAGTACTTGGAAATTGTTAAGTATTTTATTTCAGCGTAGAAATAAAAGAGCTAGTGTTAAACTTGGTTCTGCAAACTTTGTGATAATAATACCCTAATCTAAGTCTCATGTAGGTGGAAAAAAGCATACTGAATAGCACACTAATTGAACCACATGCCAATAATAGAAAACGCATCTCCATTATGTGATTGGACTCTTAATTTTTAAAGTCTTTATTTCACCTTTTCTTTCACATTTTGAATCTATGTACATATTCTGATTGCTCCAATTGTTAAAATGTACTAGTTCTCTTCTGTAGTGGTAATGCCAATTTGAGTGCAGATTTAGTTTCTTTGGTCATTTGAATACTTTTAAACAATAGTCTGATAATGGATGGATTTTTAACTTTTTATGTTGCTGAAACCCAAACTTTTTTCCCATTCTTGTGTGTGCCTAGTATTAATTGGTATGGTGATAATAACTACATTTCTTGAACTGCGCAATAGTACTTTCCCCTTACAAGCCAGAAAGATAGATAAAAATCAGATTCTTCTTAATTCATTCAGACAGTAAATGATAACGTAATTAGGGATAGAGTTAAGATGAGCATTTATTTTTACAATTGTTAGCCCATTTTTTTATACACCAGATCAGAGTTCCAGTCTGTGTCCTCTCTTCATACAGATATTTTAGTATTTAGGGTACCTATGTATTGGGTCGTCAGAAAAGTCATGACACATTTTTACATAGAAAAATACTTCATGATGTTTCGGACAACCCAATATTTGTGTATCCATACAGTAAAAGAAAAGTGAGTTTTTTGATTAGATTATTAGTTGGCTGTTGGTTTTCACTCTGTTTTATTATCCGGTACTTCTGTTGTTATATCTATTTGTAATCTTTGTCAAGTTAGGATGTAGAGAGATGGTAATTTATAAATGAAATGACTACAAAAGGTACCCATATAACTTAAAATTCTTTAATACTTTCTCAGGCTATTGATGATCCAAGTATTTTTTGGTCATCTTTATTGTTTTATGCACAGTTTTCTATATAAGTGACGATTCTTGCATTTACTCTTTAATTACTACAGCTATTACCTATATAACTGAATATACTGTAATATAAGACCACTTAAACTTTTTATGGGAATAAATTTTAATTTCCGTATATGTGTGTGTTGAATTTCTGGTTTAGATCACTGAAGATTTCATTGCGACATATCAGGCCAATTATGGCTTCTCTAATGATGGCGCATCTAGTTCCACTGCAAACGTACAAGATGTTGATAGTAGGACTGTAGAGGAACCTCCGCAAAGAATACCCCCTGAACCTGCTGATCCCAGAAAGAGGGGAGAAAAAAGAAAGAATGAGTCAGGCAAGTGATTCTAGCATGCAAAACATGAGTGTAAAAATTGTAAATGTGAATGTGTGTACATAAATTACTTCTTGGCAAATTGTAATAGCCTTAAAGGAGTAAAAAGATGAGTTTTTTTTCCTTTAATGTATTGTCAGAATTATAAAGAATCAATGTCAGCTGGCCATTTTTGTCAGACAGGGCTCCGAAACTAATTGTCTGTCCAAAGATCCAAATGCATTGAAAGCCGGGTAGTGATTTGAGTTTGTCTGTCTTTGTGTTTCATGAGTAAGAGGAAGTTCCTAGAAGTTTAAAGAAACTGCCATGTTGTCAAGATTTCATAATGTGATCCTTAATCTTTTCTTGCAAGAGTTTTGTTAATTTATTTCATTTTGTTTTTCAGGATGGTTTAATGTTGAAGAAGACAGAAATACAAATGTATATGTGTCTGGTATGTAAATCTCTTAAACAAATTTAGGTTAGGAAATATTTGATTTGGGGATTTTTCTCAGCAATTTTTAATTTTCACTTTTTCTGAAGCCTATTTTTCTTATTTTTTAAATATTTGCTATAGGGTGCTTGTGCTTGCTGCGAGAGACACAGTCGGGGAGAGAAAGAGGGAAAGTGAGAAAGGACCCTGCAGGGGGTATGACCACACCACAGTCCTTTCTCCTCCATTCTCCTCTTGGGATTTTAGGCATGTGCACTCACATGCCTGGTGTGTTTTTTAAGCCTCCAGGTCCAGGACTTGAAGAGCACAGTAGGCCATGCGGGATCCAGTCGCCGTAGTCACCATGCTGGCTCTAAAAGCCCATTTTTTAATCACTGTTATTTTTATCAGTTGCTAACATTAGTGAGGAATATGTACGTTTATTATAAATCTTTGTGTATAACTTGCATGTCATCCTTTTAACCTGCTTTAGATAAGTTACAGATTTTTTTTGTCCCTTTAAATTGAGTGAGGCTTAAGCAGAGCATAATTTTAATGTATACTCAAGTATATTAAAAAGTGAAATTTGTTCAGTTCAATAGATGTGGTATATTTACATATATTTTAGAAAATCACATTGCACTCACCTAAGTTAGAGATTTGTAATTGGTAGAATGCTAAGTAACTCTCCGTTTTATTATAGATGCCTTTATAAAGATTTTTTAAAATTTTTCCTAATATCACAGGTTTGCCTCCAGACATTACAGTGGATGAATTTATACAGCTTATGTCCAAGTTTGGCATTATTATGAGAGATCCTCAGACAGAAGAATTTAAGGTCAAACTTTACAAAGATAATCAAGGAAATCTTAAAGGAGATGGGCTTTGCTGTTATTTGAAGGTTTGTTATGTGGTCAAAAGGTTCTTATAGCTGCACTTGTAACTCAAGAACCAGAGCTGTAATCTTTTATCGATGATAAACAAGATCAAGAACTATACAAAACAGGTTTGATAGCAAACTGCAATTTCAGATGGTATCTGTGTGTATCAGTTTGGTAAGGTTATTCATTAAGAAAATATGTTACAAGGTAAAAATATTATGTAAGTATGTGACCAAGGTACTTCTTTTCTTTTGTCTTGAAAAAATTCTCACTGTAAAGATCTCTTTACGGATGTATTGGGTTGTCAGGAAAGTCATGACACATTTTTGCGTAGAAAAACAGAAGAGTACAATGACCTAATATATAATCAATCCAGAACACGTTTTAAAAATCCAAGAAGAAAAAGAGCCAGTGACACTGGGATGAAATAGACTGGGATCCAGCTCACCGTCTGCTTATATGAATAAAGTTTTACTGGAACATAGCCACACTCATTCATTTATGCATTTGTGTATAGCTACTTTTATGTGTCATCAGCAGAGCTGAGTGGTTGTAGCAGAGACCTCGAGACCCGCAAAGCCTAACATACTAACTGGTCTTTTATAAAAGGACCTGCCTGACTCTGTATTAATCCATAAAGGAAATAATAACTTGTACTTACTGCTTTAAAATATTTTTGAATGAGTGAGAAGAGAGCAAATATTAATAGAAATGTGTAAAATTTCATGTAGTTATGGTACCATAAATTACACAGGGAAAGTTCAGTGCCAAAGATAGCTATCATTTCTGGAACACCTGCTGCCTTAAGAGCATTTGTTACACGTTATTTATTGCAGGGTGCGCAAGAGAAATGGGCATTACAGGTACATATGTTATAGAACCTGAAAATAACTACAAAGTAAAATAGAAATGATATCACATACCTACATTTTAGTTGGTGAACTTAATAAAAAGGTTGGCTGTACTAGTCCCAGCTTCTTTTTAAAAAAATGTTTAAATTTCTATTTAATGACTGTACGTCTTTACAGTGTAGAACATGGTTTTTCCCAGCATGAATACAGTGCATATTAGTCAAGTCAGGGACATTACTATCTACATTATCATCAGCAAGTAACTTTTTGTTTTTGTGTCTATTAACTATGTTGTTTGTTTTTCCCTGATCCTCTCCCTCCCACCCCTTATTACTCATCCCCTCCTCTACTGTCTCTAGTATTTACAGTTACCTTCCTTGCTATTACACCTTCCAGTCTGTCCGTTTCTACTATAGAGCACAGACATTTGGTATATATTGCCAAGTTTCTTGAGTCATCTGGTTTTTTACATAGGACTACTATAGAATTTTGAAACTGAAATGTACCTTAGAAATCACCCAAGTCTGACCACCTCATTCTGCAATGAAAAATCGAAGAGGCAAAACTTGCAATAATAATACAATTTATTGAGTTTTTACCATATGCCAGTCTCTATCCTTTCCATTCATAATTTTATTTCAAGGACCCTGTGATTTTTACAGCTGAAGAAATTGGGGCTCGAGGAGCTTGAGTAACTTGCCCAACCTCACAGCTGTGCAGGGACAGCTATATCTGAAACACAGGCTTCTCAATTTGTATTCTAGAGTTGTTTATCCCTAAATAGGCAGTTATATTTAAATCTCTATTGTACGTATAGTCATTATTCAGCTAAAGAACTGAAGTTTCATTTCAGTGCATAACTTACTGGTTTTATTTTATTCGACCTTTACAAAGAGAGAATCCGTGGAACTTGCATTAAAACTTCTGGATGAAGATGAGATCAGAGGCTACAAATTACATGTCGAAGTGGCAAAGTTTCAACTGAAGGGAGAATATGACGCCTCAAAGAAGAAGAAGAAATGCAAAGACTATAAGAAGAAGCTGTCCCTGCAACAAAAGTTTGTACTTTTTCTTCTTAGAGTATATTTTGGTAATGGCCACCTAGTTTTCTTCCATCAGATGGTCCACAAATTCTTTATTTTCAAAGAATTTCATTATATCATCAGGAATGTTCACTAATCTATTCAGGGAATGATTTGGCAGTGGTGGTGGTTTTAATTTGCTAGGGTGTTTGTTTGTAATATAATGGAGGCTTAAATGAGCTAATAGAAACCCTCTCAAAAACACTGAACATCAAATTAAAGAAGATAGTTTAGGCATGTGTACTAGTATACATGCCTAAAATGATCTAGTTAACTTCATTTTCAATGTGGATCGAAATCAGCTACACCAGGAGCTAAATTTTTATATACAGATTTGTTAGTGAGTATTGAAAATAAGAAATGATACCTTTTATCATTTTATTTACTGCGTAGCTGTATATGGTATATACATGGTATCTTCACATTTCGATTATTAATATATTTAACACATTTCTAAAACATGCTAGTTTTAAGAAATTAGCCAGAATGATACTTTGACCAGAGTGAGTTCCAGCGACACTTCTAACATAATACTTTGACTAATGATAAATTGATTATAAAAACACCCAGTTGTGATATACCATAGTTTTTACAATGGTTAAAATAGGGACTTAAGATTTTATAAACAAAATGTAAAATTTTAACAAGGAGGGAGTAGTTAACATATTTCAGTGCAGTTTGTTCTTTATAATGATCAAATGCCTAAAACCCAATGCAGTTAAATTTTTTTAGCCTCGTGTATTTTCCTAGAGTCATAAATGCTATATAATTAGCATTTTTCAGGAATCTCATTGGAATGTTTGCATAATCACACAGCAGTTGCTCTGGAAAAATATATTCTGGTGATACCAGACACTGGGTCCGTATTTCCACTGTCCATTATTTTTATATCTAAAAGACCTCTGAAAGTAACTATAACTAAAACACACATTTTTGTTTTGGAATCAATTACCATTGTTAAATACTCAATACTCAGTAAATGATTATATGAACAACGTATGTTTTCTCTCTCCCAACAAGTCTGAAACAAAATTCCATTTTTTGTTACTGTTTTCTTATATTAGGCAGTTGGATTGGAGACCTGAGAGGAGAGCAGGACCATCCCGGATGCGCCATGAGCGTGTTGTCATCATCAAAAATATGTTTCATCCTATGGATTTTGAGGTACAAAGTAGTCTTATTAATAGAAGTACTGATAAGCTCTCTTTCCAGGGTGCCCAACGCTGGCCTTGCCCCGTCTTTCTCATGTCATATCCTGTGTGTTCATGGAGTAGTCAAGGCAGGAAATGGACCCAAGAATCTAAGTTTTTTAGTTTCCCTTTGTTTAACCCAGTGTTCTTTCAGTTGTATTCCAGGTTAGTATTTAATACTCATACTGTGGCCCTAAACCATACTGTGGCCCTAAACCACAGCTACTTGTTGTGGTAAATCATTAAAAGGTATCATCATTAAAAGATCAATGGGACCTGCTTGTGGATTAAGTGCTTTTTAGCAAGTATAGGCTACTTTTGTGAAGAATACCAGATTCACACTTGCAAATACAGGCTTCACTTTGGTACTAAAAGTCCGATCCTTTAAAAACCTTAGTTTAATAGAATACAGCTCTTCATTTGTAAGTAGTGGAGATTGTTTTTCAGGACCTAATTTTCTGAAACTTTAACGATGGCTCTTAGGAAGACATTACAATATTTAATGTCCATGTAAAATTCCAAGAACAGCATAGAAAAGTGATTAAGGAAGAGCTAACTACTAAGGAGGTTTAAGGAATATTAATTGTTCTCAAGGTGCTTTCTGTTGCATTCTGCCTCTGTTAACCTCTGTCTGCCAGTGTAGACCAATGTGGTCATTAGTGGAAAAACATTTATTATTTTCTGGCTGGTTCTGAAATTATTCATACCAGATTACATATGAGATAAAACTATGTTCATAATTGTAAAAGTCCAGGTTTACAAATGATCTAGTGATAACCGATGACTATCATTGTCCCTTTTGTGCATTTAAACAAAGGCTAAGTGGCAATATCATTTTAGCCCCATTAGAGAAGGCTCTCAAGTGGATGGTTTAGCTCTATCAGTGAGTAGTGAGGTAATAAGGATTTTTGTGCACCCATTGAGTCTGAGCATCTTCCAAGGTCATTAGGAAGATACATGTGGTCTCTTTGTAAGATTGCTTGATGTCTCTTCTGACCCAAAAAATGTTTTAAATGTAGTAGAGTTATTTTAAACTTGCAGTGATAATGGAGTATGTTTTAAGACCACACATGTATATATATCCTCCAGCTGTTTTTTTCAAACACTGTCCTTGTCAGGTGGACTTTTATTTTTTTTTAGGTTTTTTCCTCCCTTCTTTCTTTTACATTCAGTCACAGCATACCAAATGAATTTTCCCATCCTGAGTACATTGTTCATTGGTTCAGTCAAAAATATTACTATATATATTATCATCAACAGATAATTTTCGACTATTGTATCCCTTAAATGTTTTGCTTCTTTCTTTTTCCCTTTGATTTCTTTTGTCTCACCCTCCCCCATTTCCCAACCTCCTGCGACACTGTTTCTAGCATAAAGACATGGAGAGGAACTGTGGGTTCTTTTAGGTTTTTGCTATACACTACTTGGACTCACTGGAGAGAGACAGAGGGAATATGAAAAATCACCCCCCAGGGGGATGGTCATGCTGCAGTCCTTTCTCCACTAGTCTCCTCTTGGATTTTGGGTATGCGTGCACATGTGCTTGCCTTGATTTTCAAGCTGCCAGGTCCAGGACTCAAACTGGTCAGCCATGTGGGAGTCCAGTGCCGTAAACGCTATGCCACCTGCTGATCCCCAGGTGGGACTTTTACAGGGAATACGTAAATGGATCACAACATCTAAGCTAATAGACACTACTCCAGAATTTCCTATGGTTTATCACATTTTATCCCCTCGGGAACTAGGTTGTTTGTTAGGTGACATTTATTTCTGTTGACTTCTGGTCTTTGATTTGCACATTCCATACTTTTATCGTGGAAAGGTGAATGTAAATGCAAGCTTAATTCAAAGCATCTGGAACCTGTGTAAGTAGAAGTCTGCTGGGTAATTATACCTATTCTTGTTTCTACTTCCTGCTTTGCTCTTTGAGATGCCTTATTTGAGTCTGTCACCCTGGACAGACAGCTTTTCCTAGCTAAACAAATATTCTTTCCCCAAAAGCCACGTTGATTCTACCTTAATGTCTATAAATTCCCATCAGTGAATCTTTTTAGAAATACGATTCATGATTGCAGATTTCTGATTGTGGAAGAAAAAGTTGTTGACTTAGTATAAATTTTACTTTGGAGTCACAGGGCTTTACATTACCATTTTGTTCCTTTCATAGCATTTATTATCACCTAAAATAATTGTATCTATTCTGCTAGAACACAGGCTCTCTGAGAGTCAGGACTTTATCTTCCTTGTCTGCTGCTATATCCCTAGTACATAGAATCATGCGTGGCACACAGAAGCCCCCAATAGTTATATGAAAAATAATTGAAAGAGTGAGTGAAACCCTTGTTACTCATAAGCTAGAGTCTATCCATTCACTCAGTGGATAAAGCATTTTCTCTTTAGCATCTTTGCAAGACAAGTTTTCTTTTCATATGCTTAATCCACAAAGGATGGCAGGACACTGTCCTGGCAGTGATGGACTTTTGGATTCACAGATAAAGAAATTCTTGATTATGCTATCCTCGTTCACCTCCTGCCTACTCTTGCATGGTGCACCTAACATGATAAGAGCCTGTCAACAAGAAGGATGACAATCAACATTTTTTGTTAGATGTGTTTGTGAGTCTGAGCTCAAAGTGTATCAGAGTGTATCAGTGTATCAGTTAGATCTCTGCTAGTCAGCGTGGAAGACTCTAGCCATACTTGATTATTTAAATGTAAATTAAATAAAAATTTAGTTACTAAGTTATACTGGCCACATGTGAGTATAGTGCAGATACACAACATTTCTATCATCACAGACAGTTCTGTTGTACAACACTGGTATAGATGTTATATAATTCTTGGTAAAAGTGTTCAATAGGAAACCTCTTTTTATTGTGTGTTTTGGGGACATGTTTGATTCAAATGAAGATGCCTGTGAACCTAAAGAACAGACATTAGCATTGAACTTTTTAGTGGAAAACAGAAACTGAATTGTCAGTCTATCCTGAGCTATCAGAAAGAAATCATATTGTGGTAGGGGGTGTGGAGTATGTTTTAATTCCAAACAGTGGACAAATGTTCTAAAAATACTCTTTGGTATCAGGGTAAACAATGAAGGCTAATATTTTTACTGTAACTTCTCAAAGCCTTATTTAGGGAACCAACAGGTGGTATAATGGTTGTGTCACTGGACTCCCACATAGTCTACTGCAGTTCAAGTCCCAAACCCAGGCGCTTAAAGCTCACACTGGGCATGTGTGTGTGTGTACCCAAAATCCTGAGAGGAGAATGGAAGAGAAGGAATTGTAGCATGGACTTTCCCCCTGGAGGGTGATTTCTTGTTCTCTCTCTGTCTCGCTTCAGCACATGTGCCCTAGGGCAAAAATCTCTCTAAAAAAACAAACCAAAAATCCCACCTTATTTAAAAGTGCATTGTCTGGCAAATTTGAATACCAAGAGATGAATCAAAATTCAGGTGCCATGGTAGTTTTCTCAGTGTGTACCCACACTGTCCAGTGGAAATAGAAAGTCAGCCACATGTGTAATTTAAGTTTTTCTTTAGCCACAATAAAAATATATCATGAAAGGGAGAAAGTAATTTTAATAATGAATTTTAATGATCTCGATATATCCAAAATATTATTTCAACATTTAATGAATGTAAAAATGTTAATGAGCTATGTTACATTGTTTTTCTCCCCCTTTGGTATTAAATCAAAATTGAGTGTGCCTTTCATGCTCACTGCACACCTCACTTTGGACTAGCCACATTTCAAGTGCTCAGTGACCGCATGTGGTTAGCGGCAACTGTCCTGGCTCACATAAGTTGAGAGTGGAAAGAGGAATGAGAAACGTGGTTTATTTCCTCTGAGGAAAACAAAACACCACTCTGGGAGCAGAGATTTGAGAGGGGACTACAGAAGTTTTCAATGCATGAGTCTGATTTTAGTCTCAGGTCTATTACTCGCAAAGTCTTATCTTTTTAAAGAAATTTCCATGTGTAGCTAGCTAAAGAGTTTTCCTAAAGGAGGGGATTATTATCTTTAAACATCAGAATACTACTCAACAATCAAGATGCATTAGTTTTTCAAGCTGGCATAAGTAAAAACGGAGGACTGAGATTACTTTGCTAAGATTTGATGTCTTAAGGGGAAAGCACTGAAATGTTAATATAGAAATAAAGGTGATTTCCTCCCCCCACCCCCAACACACACAGGCTAATGGAGTAACATTTAAATTTGATAAATATTTTGAAACAGTTTCCATTTGCTTTTAACAATATCCTGATTTCCCTTGGTGAATAAAAGAGAGGTTTTAGGAATAGCATATAATACTCTGAAAAAGCCTTTATTGATTGTTCACTATGTTCAAAAGTATACAGAACTCGGTAAAGCCAGGTTCCTGCCCTCTGGAAGTACACAATCTAATAGCTAACCAGATACACATCACCAAAAGCCACCACATGACATTTCCAAGTGACTCTTATGCCCCACTCCCCATTCTTCTCAGATCTGACAATTCTAGATAATACAAATTACATATTGACTTCTTCTGCAAGATTAGGCTTTATATGTAGAGAATTCCAGAGTTGTGCTAGCTGTAGTTTTAATAGTCTCGGAAGTGTGCAAATGAATTAAGTTTTTATATTTTGAGTTTTAAATCCGATTTCAGTAACTGCCTACCAGTTGTTTGTTGTTTGAAGAACATTAGAGGACGAAAGCCATTTTTTGTGTAGTCTCTTTAGTTGATGAGAAAAATGGAGACCCTATAAGAAAGATGCATTTAAATGTTTCCTACACAGTGTAAGTTAACATCAAAAGAAATCCATAGATAGGATACCTTCATTTATACAGGTTGAGCATTCCTAATCTGAAAATCCAAAATCTGAAACTTTGAGTGCCTACATGATGCCGCAAGTGGGAAATTGTATACCTGATCTTATGTGACAGGTTGCTGTCAAAATGCTGCAAAATAAAGATATTGTGTAAAATTACCTTCAGTCTATATGCATTAGGAATATATGAAACATAAGTGAATTTTATATTTAGACTTGGGGCCTATCCCTGAGATACGTTTACATAGATGCAAATGTGCAAAAATCTGAAATTTGGAATAGTTCTAGTCCCAAGCATTTCAGATAAGGGATAAAGGACCTGTATTTGCATTTAGCTGAAATTCAAGTTGAAAATGCAGCTTTTTCTGAGCTTTTTTCCCATGCATTAAGACTTGGAGAAAGATTTATTAATTCCCACAGGGAATATTAATTCATTTTTATTGTGAAGAAGAAAGTCTACCTGAACTCAAGACCACTAGAAACTGCAGTGCTTGAATGTTCTTAGTAAACTCATAGCTACAAGAAAGCAACAGCTAAGACTATATCTTATTGTGTGCTTAATAACAGCCCTTCGTTTGTGTGGCTCTATTGTACCATAGTAGACAGGATGAACAGGAAACCTTATGAGGTTTACCCTGTGAGGTAAAACAGGATCTTGGAGGCACGACAATCTTAGACTACTTAGGCAATGAACAGGATTTCTCTGTCTCCATTACAGCATTTCATAAATAGAAATCTATCCAAAACACACAGCAAAGGGCGCTCATCGGTACAGTTAACGGTGCTTATGCAGAACATAGGAATTAGCAGTCTCTGACTAAACGTGTGCCTCAGCCCCCCCCCTGCCATACTATGTCTTTCCTCCATCTTAAAGCAGGGCAGACATGTAATAGTAGCTGCAGCTGTTCTGAACTTGATTTGATTTGTTAAAAGTTTAGTAAGACTGCAGACAAACATAACCAACCTTAAACAAAAGCTTTCTTTACTTCTTGGTTTGTCAGAACTAGAAATTTGATTTGTAGGATTTGTAGTTAAAAGAAAAGGGGCAAACCTATTTTAATCATGTTTATTTTTGCAGGATGATCCATTGGTGTTGAATGAGATCAGAGAAGATCTTCGAGTAGAGTGTTCAAAGTTCGGACAAATTAAGAAGCTCCTTCTCTTTGATGTAAGTTCATGGCTTGGTTACATGAATCCTAAAGCAATCATTCTTCCAGCTTAATAAGTTGTTAGCAGACATCAGCATGCCTCAGAATTTTAGATGAATGTTTTTATATATGCTATCTTGCTGTAGTTATCGGGTAGCAATAATTAGATGAACATAGATTAAAAGTAAAAAGCTTTGATAGATTTGGTATGCCTTGCTTGAGTTTTTTTTTTTTTTTCATCATCACTTTATTAATGAGAAAGTATAGGAAAAATGTATGAAGTCTCTTTTTTTTTTTTGAGAGGTTTTTGCTATAGGGCGCGTGTGCTCGCCAGACAGACAGAGAGACAGAAAGCGAGAAATCACCCCCCAGGGGGGGATGGCCATGCCGCAATCCCTTCTCCTCTGTACTCCTCTCGGGATCTTGGGCACACACGCACACGTGCCCAGAGTGAGTTTTAAGCCACCAGGTCTGGGACGCGAACCACGGTCAACTATGTGGGAGTCCAGCGACATAGCCATTGCGCTAACTGCTGGTCCCAAAAATGTATGAGGTCTCATGGATCCCTGTTTGCCCATGCTTTCCTTGTTTTATGAATTATTCTCCTCCATATTTAGAACAATCAGAAGAAGTGTTCTCCTATATATTTCTCCTCATCCTTTTTTTTCCCCATAATTGCCAGTGTGTGTGTGCTTGCCAGAGAGAGAGAAGAGAAAGCACCCTCCAACGAGGTGTAGTCACATTGTAATCCTCTCTCTCTCTAATTTCTTCATGCTGTCAGGTCACTGTTAACTCTAAAATTGATATACAATGATTAAAAGAGTCACTATTTGCTTGTGTGCCATAAGCTATTGGGTTGTCGGGAAAGTCATGATGTATGTTTCTGTTTTTCTATGCAAAAATGCATCATGACTTTCCTGATTACCCACTACTTAACATGTTATTTAATCCTCACAACCTTTGAGTTAGGTAAACATTATTATGCCCATTTTACAGATGAGGAAACTGAAACTTTAGTGATTGAGCACTTTGTCCAGGGTTTTACATATGGTAACTGACAGAGCCAAGATCGAATCCCAGGAGGTCTGACTTCAGGGTTCATACTTCAACAATTATACTGTCTTATCTCTCATTAGTGTGTTGTCAGCAAAAACATTTCCAAGGACATCGTGCTTGGTTTTTCTTTAGTAAGATTAAGCCGAAGAAACAGCTGATTGTATGTCACTGGCTGGCATAAAAGGGAACAAAGATTTTATACATAAAGTCTTTTAACTCAGAGTACAGAGAGAACATTACTGATTACCTACTTTGTCAAATGTGTGTATTTTAAAATTTTATCATTCCTCTTTTTCTTTTTTCTTTTTTGTCTTTGTAGCGGCACCCAGATGGTGTGGCCTCCGTGTCCTTTAGGGATCCAGACGAAGCTGATTTATGTATTCAGACTCTCGATGGAAGATGGTTCGGAGGTCGGCAAATCACTGCCCAAGCATGGGATGGGACTACAGATTATCAGGTAAATTCTGCAACCGTCAAGAGCACACAAATTGTTTCACTGCCCACAAATACTGATCTAAACTTCAGATTTAAGTTTTAGGTTCATTTTAACATGTTTCATTGAACAATGCTTCTTTTAAATAATATTTAACAGTCAAAATTAAAATGTTTCTTTTTGTTTCTAAGTTCAAAATTTTGAGGCTTGCTCAGAATAGTGATAAGAAAAGAGCATAGTAAACTAAAATATTCCTCCTTTTTTCTGTGTTACAAAGATACAGACAGAACTCAAATACTAGTTTTTTAAGAGATGAAACATTTCTACAGTACCATGGTGCTTAGGATTTATGTAAATTATCTCATTTAAGGTCAACTCTGATAAATCAAGATGTAAAGTTTTGAAAACTGTAAAGTGGGAATAACTTTGATATTCCTTTTTTTTTTCTTTTTTTTTTTTTTTAGGAATTTTTGCTATAGGGCACGTACGCTCGCCAGAAAGACAGAGAGAGACAGAAAGCGAGAAACCCCCCCCCCCGGGGGGATGGCCATGCTGCAGCCCCTTCTCCATTCTCCTCTCGGGATCATGAGCATGCATGCACATGCACCTGGCATGAGTTTAAGCCACCGGGTCTGCGACTCGAACTGCAGTTGACCACATGGGAGTCCAGCGACATAGCCATTATGCCAACTGCTGGTCCCGCTTCAATATTCTAAGAAGAGATGCCTTATAAAATCAGAGCACTTTTGTCAATATTAGAAATCTTCAGAGAAGTTAATACTTTATTTTGCCTAGAATTTATTTTAATGGCAGTTTCCATTTATTTGCAGGTGGAGGAGACCTCAAGAGAAAGGGAGGAAAGGCTGAGAGGATGGGAGGCTTTCCTCAATGCTCCCGAGGCCAATAGAGGCCTTCAGCGTTCAAGTTCTGTCTGTGCTCCAGAAAGGGCAGGGCCTTCTAGGGTAAGGCATTTTTCAGAGCACCCTGATACATCTACAATGAATGTTCAAGAAGCCTCAACTGGCATGGCATTTGAAGAACCTATAGAAGAGAAGAAGTTCGCAAAGATGGAAGAGGGAGGAGAATTTGAAGAAGGCACTTCTGGAAAAGATGCTAAAGAAGATGGGCCAGAAAATGAGGCTGAAGAAGGCTACCCTGAAAAAGAGATCAAAGGAGGCAGTCCCAATAGAGAGATGGAAGAAGGTAGTCCTAAAAAGGAGCTTAAAGAGAATGGCCCTGCAAGAGAATCTAAAACAAAGATTCTCAAAAATGATTATGAAGAGAATGGTCTTGCCAAAGATTCTGAGGAAGAGGACGTCACCAAGGAGTTTGAAGAGGAGGATAGCCCCAAGAAAGAGTCTGAAGAGGAAGACTCAGAGAAGGAGTCTGACTGCTCTGAGAAACAGTCTGAAGATGGCTCTGAAAAAGACCTTGAAGAAAATGGTCTCGAAAAAGATTTTGATGAGGAGAGCTCTGAAAAGGAGCTTCATGAAAACCTTCTTGACAAAGAGTTAGAAGGAAATGACTCTGAAAAATCAGAATTTGAAGACAATGGCTCTGAAAAAGTGCTAGATGAAGGCTCTGAAAGGGAGTTTGATGAAGATTCTGATGAAAAGGAAGAAGAGGAAGATACATATGAAAAAGTATTTGATGGTGAGTCTGATGGAAAAGAGGATGAAGAAGATGGAGATGAAAAAGGGCCTGAAGATGCCGAAGAAAAGGAAGATGATGATGCAGATGAAAAGCTGTTTGAAGATTCAGATGAAAGGGAAGACGAAGAAGATGCGGATGTAAAGGAAGATGAAGGCATAGATGAAAAGTTGTTTGAAGATGATGATACCAACGAGAAATTATTTGATGATGAGGATTCCAACGAGAAGCTATTCGATGATTCTGATGAGAGGGGGACTTTGGGTGGTTTAGGGAATGTTAAGGAAGAAGAGCCCCTGTCCACAGGGAGCAGCTTTGTCCTCAGTAGTGATGATGATGATGATGATATTTAATCCAATAAATTCGCTTTTTAGGGAGAGTCCTCCATCTACTTTTGCCTGTGCTTCAGGGTAATTGCTAGTAGTGTTACATGAACATGTGCATAGTGGTAGGACGCTATCCGATTCTTGCATTGATGTTTTTCATTGTTACCTGTACCGAATAATTTAAAATATATGTTAATTGACTGTTTAGTTAAAACTTCATAGTTAAAACGCAGATCAACTGGATACTTGTCCTTTTGTCAGATTTGTTAAATGCATGCAGAATAATATTTTTTAAAGTATTCTGATTGAAGTTTGTGATATTCAGAAATAAAAATAAGTTGATAATATGCCGAAACTAAAAGTTGAACTTGAGTTAAATTGCATTTCAAATTTGTGCTATTGCTTTATTTATACAAAAGTTTTGTTTTTCTAGGGACTTGAAAAACTCCATAGGAGTCTCCTTGGTTCTGGCTTATGTTACCATTATGTCCCCATTTCCTCTGTTTAACCCAGAACATGTTCCTCAACTCAGAAATGACAGGTTGTTGTTGTTGTTGTTTTTCCCCCTGCCCAATCCTTACAAGTTAACATTTGTGGGAGTTTTTTTCATACTCCCTTTCCATTAAAATTGATTCTTAAATGTGTGAAAGTGAGCCTTGTGTGGTCCACAGTTTCCATTATTGTTGAAAATATAGACAAGGAGATGAGAATTCTATTGGATTCTGTTTCTTAGCCTCTTTGGACCTCTTAAATTAATTAAAGCTATGGGACCTCTCCCCAGAAAGATGAACTTAACATGCACCACACAACTTCTTGTGTACAGTTTGAGGAAGTTCATGGATTTGAAGTTTAAGTAAACATTTGTCATGCATACTTGAGCTGCTTATTTTTGTTGTAGAATTATGATGCTAAGTACTATGCGGAGTTGTGTAGTCCCAGTAAACTTGTAACTCTTTCTTCATTGTGCATTTCAAATTCAGTATTGACAGATTTACTTATTTACTATTAAGAAAGTCTCATAAATTAGAAACATTAAAATAAACTGTGTTGGTGCTCTTTCACTATAATGTCTGTAAGTGTAATCATTACCTTGTTTGGACAGAAAAGAGTTTCTATACTTCTAGTGTTTTTGCTCTGATCATTTTTTAGTACTGTCTGGGACTTCTTAAAATCTTTGGGATTTTTACCAGGGATGTCAGTAAATGAGGTGAAGAAAGTTCTATACGAAGAAATTGCAAACCAAAATAGTGTTACCTTTAAAGATAAACCAAAAGCATTTCAACACTAAATAAAGAGTTGGAGAATTGCTTTTCAGTGGGTTGGACTCAAAATTGCAACATAAATTAGCTCTAACACCATAAGAAGAGGGCTGTTTCATTCTTCACATTAAAATGAGTAACTTTGGAAATCCAGAATCTGTCAGAAGATTATACATCTAGTCTGTTTCAAATACTAACCATTGCTTAGTAAGTACTCCTTACCATCATTCTGGAAAGGAAAATACATTAAGAATATAGTAAACTTTCACAATTTTGGATGCCAAATTGTCTAAAACACTAACCCTGTTGCCAACTCTCAGATTACTGTCTCGTATGAACGTGTGTGTGCGCACACGTGTACATGCGCATGTATACTTGTGTAGTAGTTTTCAGTTATGCTGTCTCCATATTCCAACCTCATCCCCTGCTCTTTAATTTGGTTGGTACCAAATATTTCATGTTCTTATATAAACACACTGGAAAGAGAAATCAAACAACTGTAAAATGGTAGTTTATGAGGAAATACAGAATAACAGAAGTTAACTCTAAAGCCATGAAGCACGCACACATAGCCACTTGTTTACCAAATAATCAGGTTTGATTGGCCCTAAAAACTGAGTTTATTGTGAGGCAACAACATGTCTTATTATCAAAAGAATAAACTATGGGGTGGATTTTAAGTGCAGCAATGCTCAGCAGTTAACCTGACAAAATTTCTATGTTAATCTTCCTTAAGACTTATTTACAGAAAATATTAATGCGTTCAACCCTGAATACATGAGGCTTTAAGCATGCCTTTGAATTATTTGAATGTTGTTCTCTGAGTACAAAAGTACCTTGTTTAAGAATAAACTTGAAACTTCACATTAGAAGATTTAAAAAAAAATTACTAGTCTTGGCTATATTAGTAGATATTAAAATCATTACTGCTTTCTACAAAAGAGGCATGATAAGGGCAAAATTAGAATCATTTATTCCAAGTATGTTTTCCTTCCCTCCTCAAGTAAAAACCAGGCTCTTTCTCTCTTTTTTTTTTTTTTTTGAGATTTTTGTTACAGGGTGCATGCGTTTGCTGGAGAGACACAGAGGAACAGTAAGAAATCGCCCCCCTGGGGTGATGGCCATGCCACAATCCCTTTTCCATTCTCCTCTTGGGATTTTGGGCATACATACACACGTGCCTGGCATGAATTTTAAGCCACCAGGTCTGGGACTTGAGCCACTGTTTTTTTTTTT